CTTAGAGGCTCTCGCTTTGATATTAAGATTCCATAGTAGTTTAGAATCAAGGATGATACCTAAGTATTTTGCACTGTCGGAGAGTTTAAGCTCCACCCCATTCAGGCGAGGAAGAGGGAAGGAAGGAATCTTGTATCTATTAGAGAATAGAACAAGTTCGGTCTTCCCAGGATTAACACTGAGACCACTGTTGTAGCTCCAACGACTCAGTCGGCTCAGTGATTGTTGTAGGCATTGTGAGATAGTGGTCAGATGCTTGCCAGAGACAGCAACCGCCACGTCATCCGCATATGCAATAGTCTTGCACTTCATAGAATCGAGTTCCATGAGCAGTGGGTTAATTGCAATATTCCATAGGAGAGGTGATAAGACCCCTCCTTGTGGAGTACCGCGCTTCGCCATTCTGTAAACAGTGGCATTTCCCATTGTAGAAATTATGACTCGATTCGTCAAAAGCCTACTAATGAATTGGGTGATCGGCTGGGTAACACCCAGCCTAGTCAGTTCCAATAAAATTGAATCTGGTAGTACATTATTAAAGGCCCCTTCAATATCAAGGAAGGCCACTAATGCATATTCCCTGTGCTCGAGGGATTTTTCTATAAAACCTACGAGCGAGTGGAGGGCAGTTTCAACAGATCTGCCCTTCATATAGGCATGTTGAGATGCAGATAAACGGTCGGGATCGATCGTACTCCTAATATGCAGGTCGATAATCCTTTCCAAGGTTTTCAGGAGAAAGGATGACAGACTAATTGGCCTGAAATCTTTCGGTTTTGTATGAGAGGCCTTACCCCCTTTGGGGATAAAGACCACATTACATCTGGTCCAAGATTCAGGAATGTAGGACCATTCTAGGCAGGCCGAGTAGATTCTAGTCAGCCAGGGGATTATGATATCCTCGTTGTGCTGAAGATCAGCAGGTATTATGCCATCAGGACCCGGTGATTTATACGGGTCAAAACTCTCGAGGGCCCATTTTAGCTTTTCCTCATTAATGAGATTGTCTGCCTCCATGTGCGTATCAGAGAGTTCATCGGAAAACTCCATCGTGAGAGGCGAGTTTCCAGGAAAGTGGGCGTCAAGGAGAACTTCTAGGGTTTCCTTTCCGCAAGTTGTCCATGTGCCACAGTCCTTTTGGATGTAGCTAGGAACAACCGTCGAAGTAGACAATATTTTCCGCAAGCGGCTTGTCTCAGAAGATCCTTCCACGCCGCTACAGAAGGATATCCAAGACTTGCGTTTTGCATTTCTGACCAGGTTTTTGAACCTGTTCACTGAGGCTTTATATTCCGACCAGTTTCCTAGTCGCTTGGCCTCGTTAAACAATCTGCGACACGCTTTACGAGTGTCTGCTATTTCAGAGGACCACCATGGTGGTTTACTCTTGCCTTTACAGACCTTTGGTCTGCAAGATTCCGAGATTGCCCTGTCGAACGCATTTGTAAGTGCGTTAGTCGCATTCTCAATATCAGTCCGATTCTGTATGTTCGGTAGTTGCCAAAGAAGGTTGGATAAGATCTCATGTTGTCTTGTCCAATCCGTTCTTTTCCTATTTCGAATAGGCATAGCCTTCGTTTCCCTGACCTCTATTATAAAGTCAATATACATGTGATCAGAAAAGGAGCAGTCTTTTGAAACCCTCCATTCCCTGATCATATTAAAGTGCTTAGAACTAACTAGCGTAATGTCCAAAACCTCCCTTCTGTTTATCGCCACGAAGGTAGGTTCCGAGCCTGTATTTACTACATCAATACCATTGCAGAGAATAAAGTTAAAAATCGACTCACCCCTTGCGTTGGTATCCGAGCTGCCCCATATAGCATGGTGTGCGTTGGCGTCAGCCCCAATTATTATCGGCAAATTTTCATTATTTGCCCTGGTTATAATATCGCGAACCTTTTTGTTTGGCGGTGGTTCGCAGTGGTCATGGGCCATGTAGCTGGATACCACTAAAAGGGTACCCGAACCTGTCTCCCAGGCCGCTACAACTGTGTCTTCATCGCTGAAATCAGAGAGAATGAAGACTTTTAGATCGCTTTTGGCAAGTATACATGATCTAATCCTACCTGTACCATTCATGTATAAAAGCTTGTAGCCTTTGATACTAAGTCCGCAAACCCTTTCACGGTGGATCCAGGGCTCCTGGACCAGTATAAGCTCCTCCCCTCTCTCTGCCATCCGGAGGAGCAGGGCAGCCGAAGCTGCTTTGGAATGGTGAAGGTTAATTTGCGTGACCTTCACCATCCTTCTTCTTCGAGACGTGTATAACGGTGACGTTGACGTCCTCTTGATCGGATTTCAGGAGGTCGTCCTCGTCAACCGTTTCGTCGCCGTCGGCTGTCACTTCAACCCCCTCGAAGAACTCACCAACCAGTTGTGAATTGGTTGTAGAGTCCTCCTCGGCGATTGAACTGGCAGCCTCGTCGCACGACATCTCTTCCGGAGCCGGATCCTCGCCATTTTGTACAGTTTTATCCTTATCGTCACCCCGGTAGACACGGAGAAAGATCGACTCAAAGCCGTAGTAGACCTTTCCTCGTCTCTCCCGAAGCGGCGCCAAGGACTCCCTGTTCATAATGACGGTGATCCTTCTGGAGTGTCCTTCAGATTCGGATACCCTGACTACCTTCCAGTCATGTGTGGGGATTTCAGGGTTACCGATCTTCAGGAGCTCCAATATCTCCTCTGGCTTCGCTGGTTCGTCGGGAACTAGGGCAGTGGACCTAGGCCGGCGTGGTATCTCGTCAACAGAGACCACATCCAGCTTCGCTCCATCCCACAGGCCATCCAAAAGAGCTATCGCCAGCTTAAGTAGCTGAGCAGAACGCTCATTTGAGCAGGCCATTAGCTTTACCCGACCACGGTACCAACCAGCATCATCGCACTGAGGGGGGGGACCTGGGTTCTCCTTGAGAACTCGCCAGAACACTCCCATCAGCTTTCTACGCACCATATCCCAGTTTGCATGAGATATGGAGCAGTCAGAATCCGCACGGTCGATGATGGCACGTACGAGGTGACCCTTGGCTACCTCGCTGAAGGACCTATCAAACGACCTGTGCTGCTTCAATTTCTTTGACTCGGGCTGTTGCGACTGACCTTGTGTCTCCTCCTCCGAACGTTGCCGTTTAGGCGCGTCTTTCGACGTGAGGGGGAGAATTTGTTGGTCAGCCAAGACGGATTTAGCCCAGTTAAGCGATGACAAGTCATCGGAAGAGAGGGACTCGGCAGGCTCTTTACCTAACCGGTCAATAATTTTCTCGGCGGCGCGCCGTTTAATGAAGGCCCTTCTTGCAGGTGTAACGTGCCTTGAGGGTTTGCTATCGCCCGGTTGGACTGGAGGCACAGCTGGGGAACCCGAAATCGAGTTCGCAGTTCCTTCACTGGCGGGGGGAGGTGTAGCTATGGTACCCGAAATCTGGTTCGCAGTACTATTGCTCACGACAGGCACTGGGTTAACTGCCTTGGCAGCACCCGAAGCAGGGGAATTGGCCGAGTTTTCATCGGTCAGGGCCTGGGCAGCCTTTGAAGTACTTGGGGTGAGAGACAGAGGTACTTCGCCACCATTTTTGGTGCAACCCTTTTTAGGGGGTGCTTTATTTTGGCAGATTTTGGATTTGGGTTTCCCCTCCTCCTTTCCTGCCGGTTTTTGGTTGCCGGTAGCTCGCGGATTAGTCTGGCCCGGTGTCGCCGCCAGACTAGCCCGGATCTCAGTAGCATTCGATTCACCGCGACCTGAAATCGCCGCCGCGGGAATAGGTTCTCCGGAGATTGTAAGGCCCCCGACCGGATACATGGGGCACGTCTTTTTTTCGGACATTTGGACATTTTAAGGTTTGCATTTTATACTTACTGCCAAGTTTAAGAAAGCTGCCTCGCCACGTGGAGAAGACAGACCACCAAGCCGCCCAATATGGGAAAAACAGACGCTGGTGGATTTGACGGACGTTCTAAAGGACAGGGTCCAAAAGGACCAAAAAGAACGGACCGGTACTACCGGGTGCCCTCTCAGCCACGAAAAGGGAAAAACACCCGGCAGACCCAAGATATCTGATAGCCGCCCCAAAGGGGAAAAACAGACGCTATCAGATTTGGGGGGGGGTAGTTCTTAGTAAGTGCTCGCCATGAGCCCCTCTGGTGTGGGTGTCCCTATCCAGCACGGCCTGCATGGGTCATTACACTTAAGCCTTCGCATCGCGTCAAGATGACTACCCTTCGCGAAGGGTGAACCATAATAGGGGTATTAGAATCCAATCATATTTTATACTCTGCACCACTATAGTGGGGAGGGTATAATCCGTTTGTGCTGATGTTTGTATGCACAAAAATATTTGTCTAACACACACCTTAAAATATACTATATTCGTCCGTCTGTCCTTCGTTCGTCCTTCCATGCAAACATTAAATTTAAATCGGTTCATTATTTCACCTAGCATCCATCCTACGGAATCTTCCTAATATAGCTACAAAGTCCCTTTCAGAAAATCAGCTTGTATTCAATAGATATCATAAATATAGGCATTGTGGTAAATATCTCCTATTATAACTTGACTAATTCATCTCGTACAACATTATTTTTTTAATCTCAAATAAAAATATTAAATTTTTTTATTTAAGAAATGTTAGTTTATTTAAAACACATGCTACAACAGTTGTATTTCGAATTTTTAACGAAATAAGCAAAAATGGAATATAATTTATAATCACAAACATAACAAAAATTTTATTAACTATTTATAAAAATAGGTGATTTAGACCACATATCATTCAGAAAACATATGCAAGTTGTATATATGTACATATATTATGAATGATAAGCTTTTGTTTAATTTTATTTATGCAACAATTATCACATTCAGCGGATACATCTCGGTGATATCTAACTTCTACATTTCATGTATAAATGTTAATATTTGCGTGAAAACATACGTTTGTATGAATTTATATCTTATTGTTTGAGGGTGATTCCATTGAAGTGAATTGAATGCAAATATCAGTTAGATACATTTGTAGCAAATATCCTGCATTTATTTATTGCGTTTTTGTTTACTACAAAAAAAGGAGAATATACAACAAATTTAATAATTATACGTAGATTGTTTTCGTAATATTATGCTAATCTAAAAGATGAATAATATATCATTTTAAAATGAATTTAAATCTTATGTAGTAATGAAATTATAGAATTAATTAGTTTCCGATATGTTTCTATCGTTATTAATGATGGTGTTAAAACATTAATATAATACAGAAACTAATTGATATTTTATGTACATTTAAACGATGAATATATGATATATGTCGAGAAATCATTATTGACTATTACTTTTTCGCTAGAGCTATCCCAAGTCCAAGAATTCCTCCCAAAACTAAAGCAGCTCCACCAGCCACTGCCATGCCTTTGGCCATTTCCTTGTCGTTTTGTTTCTTAATATATTCCTACGACGAAAACAAATAATTGTTAATAAATTCTTGTTACATCATTATTTTAATCAATTATTTTAACTATGTACCTCTAAAGATCGGACTTGATCATTTGATTCGATATCCAAAAATGCCCGACAATATTTTAGACCTTCTGAATAATTTTTTATTCTAGCATTACCAAAAGCCAAATAATAAATATAGTCGCGTCTTCCCTCCGGATGTATTCGGGCTAAATCCTCCAATATCATAATGCCCTAAAATTAGATTTATTAGAATATTCCAGTACTTCGGGTTAACAAGACCACAAATTAAAATCAATTAAAGTAAATGATTCATTATCAATCATACTTCACATGTACAAACCTTTCTGATGTCGTTGGTATATCTGCTACGAACTAAGCAGAACCCATACTCGAATTTGGTTTCTACAGATACTTCTCCATCCAATTCAAGTTCATGAGCATATTTCTTCTCAAATTTCTGTAAATGTTTTAATAATCTGTTTTGGAACCATAAATACATAAACATAATGTTGCTTGGAAATTACCTCTAGCTCATCCTGGGGAACCACTTCGTTCAAAAGTTCCTCCATTATTTATTTCGCAATATTTTTCCTATTCACTGCTTACAATGATTACTTATTTTATTTCTTTATTTTTGAAAACAAAAAGATACTCAGTAATAGAGTTGCCGGATTTGTTTAATTTACCATCCCTCATTAACTTTGTCAAATTAGTGCTTTTTGCCCCATTTTTAGTACTTTTTCAAAGTTTTATATGTATCTTAAAAAGATTTAAAGGCTCAAACACATACAATACTTTGCGTCCAACTGCGACTGACAGCTACGCAACGTAAGAAAGTGATATCCAATCGTTGCGTTGCCGACGTATTAAAAACTAATTAAATATTTTATACCCTCCACCACCATTAGTGGTGATAGAGGGTATATATAACTTTGTCATTCCGTGTGTAACACTATGAAATATTCTTCTGAGACACAACAAAGTATATACAGTGAATCAATTAAGTAATTTGCCTATGTAAAATTTTATAAATTTTAAGAAAAAACTTTATCTGAACAATTATTTTTAGCAAAATAAAGCAATTTGCTTGTTGTATTTTTTAAAGAATATCTTATATTTTAATTTTCTACCATAAAAAGTAAAATCGTGATATTAATTAACGAGATTTTTGATAAAATGTGAACGTATTGTTAATTTTTAAGGTCAATAAAGTATTTTGCTTTTTAAGGTTTTTTGTTAATTTTTTTAATATTGCTACATTATTTTATAAAATTTAATATTTTTATTACTCCTATATATTAGAATAACATTTTTTAGATATTTTAGTAGTGGAACGACTAAGTTTGGACATTTCTTAACCGATTTATTATCCTATATACCTATAAGAATTTTTCAATATTTGACTTAACATGAAATCTATCGTTTCTTTGATTTAATTTCGAAAATAATAAGTAATTTTGATATATTAGGAAATCAATGGATTTGGACCTAGAAAAAAATATTAGTGGGGTATGAATCTATAGATTATAACAAAAATAATCTGGGTTTTTAGTAATTTTGTATTGATAAACAAAAACTACATTACGGAAACCCCATCTATTTGAGGAGTACTGTGTGAATTTTATTTAGAATTGTATAATATTGATTCTTATTCAATAAAGCTAACACTAAGTACCATCCTAGCCACTCTAAGTATGGGGATATCACCGTATACCACTATAGAACTATTACATGCTAGAATTTTCAAATTCTACCTCATATTTTGAATGCATTATTTTATGAATAAAATACAGTAGGCGTAGCTGGATTTGGATAGTTATTCTTGATTTGGGTTCTAACTATATATAAGTGTATGTATTAGCTGAAAAATATTGCTTTTGTGGATCTTAGGTGATGAGAACCGCCTCTATTTGTAAATATCTAAATTAAGTATTTTTCCCGTACCACACGATAGTTCACTTTATATTGTTTCCAACCAACCTAAGGTCTGTTTAGAGGTCTAAATTTAAACATAGTGTTCTTTTAAGTTCGTATATGGACTTTGAAGAAGATAAATGAGGGCTTCAATGGTTTTTGCTTGGATACAAGTCGCTCTCCTTTGGCAGTTAAAGATTTTGAAAGACAACTCAGTGCGTTTTTTTTAATAATTCTTTGTGTTATTTCATCAATTTCTATATTTTATATTTTTTAATGATTGATTAAACATCTCATAATTGAATTTCATTTATATTTTTTATATTGGAATTGCCTCATTATTTTCCTTTAAACATTTTTAAGGCAATAGCTTCACATTTTCACACAATGAGAATATGATTTTTGAAAATTCCAATTGAAAAATACTTAACACGTGTCCTTTTAACAATAAAACAATAAATTCCAAAAAGCAATTAAAAAATAATTTGAAAAATCCAACGAAATTAACTGGAAATTTCAATATGCAAAATACTTTATTGACGTGCAAATTCTGATGAAAAATAATAAAATGCAACAACAAATGCACCAAAATTTTTATTTTAATAAAGAAGGTTTTCCCATTCTACACAAAATCTATTTTCAATTGGAAAACATAAATTTACTTTTTACCTGTTTTTTTGAATTTTATTTATGAACAAAAAACAAAATTCTCTTAAAAAAAGGTAGGCAAAAAACTTAGTTGATTCACTGTATATTCTTAGACCTCATGAAATTCTGAGTCGATCTAGCAATGTCCGCCTTCCGTCCATCTGTCTGTATAATACATTCCCACGATAACAAGAAGCAACAAAAATTAACGAAATTTACCCAAAATATTTATTATTGTCCTAGGCAGTTTGGTATTGAAAATGAACAAAATCGGTTCACATCGGGAAAAGTTTTGAATCAAAATTTAAAACTCCGAAAAAATAAACATTTTTTACACATTCTGATGTAATTTTCACGAAAACTATGCAATATAAATACATGAAAATCATCATACATTCGTTTCTACACAAGAACTTGATTCCTGCTGAAAATTGCCAGCATCGGTCCACAATTTCATATACCTTTCATACAAAAGTACATATTCCCGGAAAATGAGTTTATTGTTAATAACTTCCGTTAGAATGTGGATATCTTCACAAAATCTCACAAGTTAAAATCTTATGTGAATAGAATTCATTCAGAGAAAAAATTTTCAGGATCGGCCCATAATTGGTCATAGCTCCCAAACAAGGTACCCTCCCGAAAATCACTTAAACGCACTTAACTCATTACTTAATTCAGATATCCATATAAAATTTGGTACATGTTTGCTCTTATATACAGAAATATTACCGTAAATTTTTTTTGCGACCGGTCCATACAATGTCCCCTCCTGAAAATCACTTAAACGCACATAACTCATTACTTAATTAAGATATCCATATAAAATTTATATACATTAACGTTACTGTGAATTTTGTTGTTCGATAGGTCCATAATTGGTCATAGCTCCCACACAAGGTCCCCTCCCCTCCCCTTCCACTAAACGCAAATAACTCATTACTAAATTAAGATATCCATATAAAATTTGGCACAAGTATTTCTTTTATATACAGAAATGTTACTTTTTTCCGATCGGTCCATAATTGGTCATAGATCCCATGCAAAATCCCCTCCCGAAAATCACTTAAACGCACATAACTCATTACTAGGGATGCCAATCCTGAAATCCCGAAAATCCCGTGATTTTTCGGGATTAGAAAATCCCGAATCCCGGGATTTGCAAAATAATTTCCGGGTTTTTTTCGGGATTAGGAAATCCCGAATCCCGGGATTTTTCAAAATGAATCCCGGGATTTGTTACTAAAATTTTTTTTAATTCTTTTTTGAGCCATAATTCGCTTGAAAATTACGATCTTAGTTTTTTTTTTGACTTATGCAGAACAAAATTCAGCACAGCAAACCTTGTACATTTTGAACCTTTTATTATTATATGTCTATAGTAGACTCATTCTATTTAGGTCGCAAATTTGGACCAAAATGAACACAAGAAATCCTAAAAGTACCTCCTCTAAAATTCAATTTGATGCCAATATTAATATCAATACATTACAATCAGCTATTTGATAAAATTCATTTTTAAAATAGATTTGAATCTACAAAAATAATAAAAAAAATTCTGCGGCCTTCACCTTCGTGAGAAGGTTAAATATAAGTTTGTTATTCCGTTTGTATTTTCCAAAATATATATATTTTTAAATTGATTCTCCTAAGTGGAAAGTATTTTGTTGTCTTCGTAGTATTTTACAAGAAAATAATAAACCATTCTTCGATCGAATCCTTCGAATTCCATCACATACCGGAATATTTATTTTATTTCGGCACAGTCAAATATAAAATTTATTTTTTAAATAATATCTAGAAGGTTTTGCATTTCATGCTTTCTACAAATCTGAGTGATAACGGTAAAGGTAAATTAAATTGTTCTGAATGTAGATAACATTTTCCAAAGAAAAGGTTCATTTATGATCTAAATTGATATTCGAAGGATTGAACGTTATATTTATTATACCCTACACCACTACAGTGGGGAGGGTATTATACATTTGTGCTGATGTTTGTAACGCATAAAAATATTTGTCCTACACCCACCTTAAAGTATACCGATCTACTCAGAATCACTTTCTGAGTCGGCCGTCGTTTGACCCTAGCCCCCATACGAACCCCGCTTTAAAAAATATCTTAAACGTCCAAAAATTTACTTATAACCATTAGTATCGCGATGAGATTCAGCTAACCTTTATATATAAATTACATCCTTCTTCCCAATTTTTTGAGGATCGGTCCATATTTGACCCTAGTTCCCATATAAAGCCTCTTCTAGAAATTTTGTTTTCCATCAATAAATTGCTTAAATACATCGGAATTAAAGTAAAATTCAACAAATTTTTTATGAAAAATTAATATTTTTTAAAATATATCCATGGTGTAGAGTATCATATAGTCGGCCATGTCCGACTATACTTTTCTATTTGTTTTTATTTAGGAAGCATGTATGTAGTTACCAAATTTCTGAAATTATGATATTCTAAAAGTTTTTATTTAATTTAAATGTATCTTCTGTCGATTAATTAAGATTAAACAATTTTCTTCACAAACATGAAGATTTAAGATTTTCATGTATAAAATAATAAAATTTATGTAATCCCGATCCCGTAAAATCCCGGGATCCCAAAATATCCCGGGATTGCAATTTTCAAAATCCCGAATCCCGGGATTTGTAAAAGCCAGTCCCGTTTAGCATCCCTACTCATTACTAAATTACTAAATCCATATAGAATTTAGTACAAGTATCGCTCTTGTATATAGAAATGTTACTGTGAAATTTTTTTCCGATCGGTCGATAATTGGTCATATCTCCCATACTTTAACCGTATTTAACTAGTTGCATTAGTGCCGGTTCACTCAGGCAAACTTTTTGTAGGAAACTTTTGATTTTTGTGTATGAGAGAAAGAAATATAAATCATCTCTTTCTCTCACACACAAAATCAGTTTCCCTGTGTGAACCGGCACTACACTCAATTTGTGTAGAACAAAATACATATATATTTTGAATTTCGTTAAATATTTCACACACATGCATACATGCAAATTATAAGCATATCTTATGGCGCTGAAAAAATATAAAAGAAAATGGCGTTTGTAATGTTTAATAAATCTTGCAATTGTAACAGATTTAAGCTGTTTAGCTCTATTTAAGA